TTTTTTTTTTTTCAATCAATATGATTTAAGTGTGCCACAGAAGTTTAAGTATAGGTTCAAGTGTGCTGTTAATAAAAAAAGGTTGAAAATCCCTGTTCTAGACAGTCAGTCCTCAAACCCAAGTTGGAGCCCAGTGAGCTAGTGTGATCGCTAAATAAAGCAGCTCCACTAAAGTGACTTTGTGGGTGTTTCGTTTTCCCCCCTCTCGCTATAGTGTGTCTTTTGGGAATGGGGCCCAAGGTCTCGGAAATCACAGCCTGTTAACCTTGTCCACTTCCCAGGAGGAGGGCAAACCATGATAACGTCAACAACCACCTTTTTCCTGAGAACCTAATGCTGTTTGTAACAGAGTATGGCAATAAAGATCAAAGAGAGGGCAGCGCCTGTGGCTCAGTGAGTAGGGCGCCGGCCCCGTATACTGAGGGTGGTGGGTTCAAACCCAGCCCTGGCCAAACTGCAACAAAAAAATAGCCGGGCATTGTGGTGGGTGCCTGTGGTCCCAGCTACTCTGGAGGCTGAGGCAAGAGAATTGCCTAAGCCCAAGGATTTGGAGGATGCTGTAAGCTTTGACTTCGTGGCACTCTACTGAGGGTTAATAAGTGAAACTCTGTCTCAAACAAAAAAATAAAAATAAAGATCAAAGAGAAAATGATTTCAAAGGATCAGTCAAGGATCTCATAAATGTTTTCTAAGGACCCAACGCTGAGTTTAGGATTATGTTTCATACTTGCTGTGGTCTGAAATCTGCCAATAGCAGCTGTAAAACTGGCTAAGTTTTTATGGACAGATCAGCCCAGAGTCTGTGAACATTCCCTACCTAGGAACCCATGAGGATGACAACATACACCCCTAACCATTACATTCCTCAGCAAGTGTGCTCAGACCCGGCTTCCTGGAATAAATGTAGAGCTCTAGGCTTTCAGATGAGCCAAGGTAACAAGAACTCTCCTAAGGAACAGTGGAAACAAGTCTTCTGTCTTAACCCCTCTCCTGTACACAGCTGTTCTATGGGAAGACAACCCGCCACTTCCAAGTGCTGCAGGTACATAGAATTTCTGCACAAAAAGCAGGGGCTTCGAGTGACACTAACCTGTGACTCAGTTCTGCCAGCTGTGTGCCCTTGGACAGGTACCTTAACCCCCTAAGGCTCTATGTCTGTAATATGGACATAGGGTGGTTTGAAGGATTCAAAGTGTGCGAAAGAATTAGCACAGTGCATGGCACATTGAGTGCTCTTCAGAAAGTATCATAAGGACGAGGGAATAGGCCCGTGCACAAAATAGGTGCTCTGTATCTGGGGCCCGCCTTTCTCCTCCCTCCTTCCCTTTTCTGCCACCTTCTTTGACCAATAATCTATGGAGAGAGGCTTCTGGGGATGCGGATGCCAGAAGTGTTGAAACCCAAGAGAGAGCAGATCTAAAACTGTGTATAAATAGACAAGTTCTAGGAATCAGAGTGAACTTTCCTCCTCTTCTGAGGCAAAAAGCCATTTTTATTTAAAAAAAAAAAAAACCCTTAAACTCGTGCTGTAGTGCCTGTGAGGATTCGTTTCTTCCTTTTCTTCTTAAATGAAATTTAATTTTATGCATATTACATGTAGCTCAACAGTTCATAATGAATTGGATTAAAATGAACGCAGACACCTTTCCATTTAGAAAAGTGAGCCACCTTCGGGATTTAGAATGAAATCAATTTGGGGATTTCTTAGGACATTGTTTGTTTAAGAAACACAAATATTTGCCTGGGCTTCATTCAGTTCGTGTGTGTTCATGCTTTATGTGAATTCAGATTCAGACAGATCCAGAAGTCAAATCAAAGGGGAAACACCGCAGTGCCATGTAGGAGGAGCTGCTTGGGAAATTGCTCTCATTGTAATAACAGCAGTGGCACAGAGAAAGTTACTGATCTGCGCTCTCACAAGAACAGCAGTAACACGGGAAAGATATTACCTGCGCGCTCACGCTGAGTCCTTACTCTGTACCAATTACCATTTGAGTGTGCTATGTGTGTTAACTTATTTAAACTCATGACAACACTATGAACAGATTAACATATTCCCATTGTACAAACAAAGGAACAGAGATACAGAGAAGTTAAATTCCTTGCTCCAGCAGTGGGGCTAGACCTTGACCCTGGGCAGTCTGGCTCCAGAGCAGCGCCGTTCTGACTCAGAAACCCTCCAGTGTTCGTGCCCCTGTGCCACACACTATTCCAAGCTCTTGCTGAGAATTAACTTGTTTAGTCCTCACTACAACCCTTGCCCCAGTCACACAGCTAGGGGTAGGGGATACGGGATATGATCCCAGACAACTCCCTCCATTGTTTCAGCTTGGCCTTCGGTGATTCAAGCCACGTTTTTCATAATTGAATAGAACCAAA